GAAACAGTTATGCTGAGAAGTTAAGATCAACTTAGGTCTGTCAGGTGGAGGTTTAGGGGAATGCTTTTCTGTAAGTAATGGACTGTTCTTTTTACAGGGCCTCTTAATTGTTCTCAGAGTACCGAGGGGCAAAGAAAAAGAAAACACAACCTATGTAGGCTAAGTAGTTGAGAGAATGGTATATACTTTTTGCAAGAGAATGGACGAAAGGACTATACAGAGAAGATAGCTATTACAGTCATCATTCTAGTTAAGAAATCGAGTTCTTGTCATTTGGAGAAGAAAAAAAAAGCTATGCTCATTAGACATGGCAAAGGCTGCCTTTCTCCTATTTCCAATCAAGAAGGGCAGGCTCTGCAGATATGATAGTTTTAACGACCAGTGTGTAATACTGAACTGGAAATTGCTTCTTGGAACAGTTGGCTGCATTCTACAATTAAATTGTTGTGAAGACGAAGAGACAAGAGAAATTCACTTTCCTTATGGCGAAAAAGAAGAAGATAATATTATATATATATATATATATATTTATATATATATATGTGTGTGTGTGTGTGTGTGTGTGTCATGGGGAGATGATATCAGATCATCATTAAATAGGCAATGAAATGAAAAACAAATGGACTGAACAAACATGGACATCCAAATTAAACCCTAAGACAAACGTTGAAGAGAGAGGACAAAGGTGTTGGTCCAAGGATAGGACAATTTGGCATGAATGGGTTGAGGGCCTACGATAAACTGGGGGATAAGGACAGAAGAATAGGAAGAAAAAGAAGAAGAAGAAGAAAAAGAATAAGAAAGGTGATAGTCTGGACTCCATCCATGATACTGAAACAATTGCAAAAGAAAGAACGCAATGGAAGAATTGTTTTTCAAGTATCCAGAAATTATGAGTTGTTAACCCTTTGGCTCGGTACTACGGATATTGCAACCCTTCAGCTTTCATTCCCTGATAGATATCGTAAATTTGGGAGAAGTGTGACTTTTCTGCCCACTTCTTGGCATGAATCTGCACCACAAAGAGTTCGTCACCCAGTCACCGAGCAAAGGAGGAATAAACTGCAAGTCGTTAGTGTTATAGAATAGAATAAACTGCAAGCATAACACGATGAAGATTTTGCCAATTAGGGCAGTGTACTTATCATGAACTCAACGAGTTAATCAATTTCTTCCATCCGACAATGCTTAAATAGCTGGCACGAGTGATTATGTTTCCTTCATAACCCCTACTCTTTAGTAGAGGTCAAAAGAAGACCGTATACTCTAGTACAGATCTTCAGCTTCTACATGTGCTAAGTCACATCATAATGTGAAATGGAGAATTATAGTGGGGGTGGTAAACTATATCTTCTTTCAATGTTTTCACTCCATAGAAACATACAGGATGAATCAGAAATATGGCTACACGTTCCAGTATGTATGCATCACAAAGCAGTGACTTTTTAAAGTGCTGTGGATTATGCTGTGAATGGCAAACAATCTGAGGCAATTATGTGGCTCAGTGTTGTTGTATTGTTGTGTATTATTAGTTTAAAGAATTCCAGTGGCCTCATTTCCATGGCAAAATCTCTCATGTGATTAAACATGGGCAGTTATACATGTAGCCACAGTTCTGACTCACCCTATGAAGGTCATCATGTCAGAAAAGGCTAGAACACACTAACTATTTTTAAGCATATCAAAGAAGTCACTACCGCTTATTTACGTATTACTTTTTACAGTGTAGATTAGGGTTGGGGGAGACTGGGGCGGGGGAATTCTCTGAAGATACAGAGCAGCATAGCTAGTGCGGCTCTATGACTTGTGCAGGTAAGGAAAATTTATGACTAACCCCACATGACGAGTGGTACAGAAAAACAAGCCTTGTTTAGAAACACCCATACAGCACAATGAAAAGACTGAAAAAGATATATTTGAAAATATCTGACTGGAAGGTAACCAATAAAAATAAATACAACATGAACTTCGTCAAGATATTAATGAACAAATGATCATGATCGCCAATGTCTGCTATGTGCCCAGCTGAAGAAAATTAACGATGAGCCAGTGGTGTTTTTTTTTAATGGTACAGTCTGATCACAATTTTATCCAGGCCAGTTTCCTAGTTGTGTAGGTTACTTGTACCCATGCTTTGTCAAGGATGCTTAAACAATGGATATTTATTCACTGTTCTGTTGTGTCATTATATGTCACATAAGGCTTAGTCTATTCCTCGATTCCAGTCTATCGTGTGCGATCAGTTCAATACTGTGAACAAAATCCAGTCCAACAGCTTCGACTTCTCTCAACAATTTTCATCTTAAATTGACTTCTCTCAACAATGTTCATCTTAAAGTTTTTTGGGGTTTTGTTTTGCACATCCTTGCCCCCTTAATCCCTTTATCTCCCACTTTAGTGCCAGCTTGGTGATTCTCTGCTGCCTTCTCAGGATGTATCTAATGTAGCACCCTCTTCTCTGTCTTATAACAAAATGGACAACAAAACAATGGATATGCTGAAATTATTATTTTAATTTGTTTTGTTTTTTTAAATTATAATTCTCTAATTGTGTGTCAGAATTCTGAGACAGTAATTTAGTGTAGACTTTCCCTTCGCCCACATGCTAGAGAGGAGTTAAGTTAGGGAGCAGGAACTTCACTGTAATAAAATCAAATTTCTCCATCAGCTTATTCTTATCCACCAAGCCTGGCAGGTCAGCATGAGCACTATTAAAGAAAATCATGAACAGACAGTACACAAGTGAAAATGAATCCTTTGAAGTTCATGGTTTCAGGACTGACAGTTCAGGAAGAGGTTCTGTTCCAAAATTGAAACTATTCCCACCCCCCCCCCCCCCCCCCACTTCTTTTCCAGCCTCCATTTTTTTTTCACTCTGAAAAATTTGTTTAGAAGCCAAATTATTCCAAAGCAGAGACTATCAAGGATCAAGGTTGCACTAGTTAAAAACTGCTTAACCTTTTGTTGCTGCTGGAAAACATTGTTTATTATTATATGTGTATTAAAGAGTTTCACACAGTCAATGACTGGTTTCATTTTGAACTTATATTTCCAACTTTTCAGCAAAACACTGTTCTATTATTGTACTCCCAGCATAATTTACAGGCTTCTTTCTGCCCATTTACAACAGACTGCACGTTACTATGTAAATGAAGGGTGTGGCCTAGTAAAACTGTTATACACTGATCAGGGTTTCTGGGATATGTTCTTGTAAGATTCTCACCAGAGAAGCAGCTCTCTGAGTCACTGGGTGTTAATTTTTCAGAATGCAATCCTCAGGAAAAAAAAAGGAAAATAAAGATCTTCCTGTGTAACAAAGCAAGTTTGTCCATTGTGTACTCTAAGTAATGTTTCTATTGTAAGTGTTCTTCTTATAAAGTTTAGTGTTATCTGACCCTGTTTTATAATTTGGGCCTTTGAACAGTGCAAATGAATGTCTACATCCAGGTTTTAATCACAACAAAGCTAACCCATTTGAATTTTAGTTGAAACAGTTTTCTACTTCCTATATTTTAAGTTTAGTCTGTTGTTTGACACTGTCATCAAAGGCCACTGAACAATATATGTATATCATAAACATGAATGCCTCCTTTATACAATTTGTTTTTTTTTCCCCTGTAATTTCACCATATCATGCCAGCTTCAAGATTTGGTAGGGAAATCCCCAGACTGTCCCATAGTATAGGAGGTGGGTTAGGCTTTGTAGTAGTCACTTTTCATTTAAGACTAGCGCTAACCCTACACCCCATCCCCCACACACACACAATGGGACAGATTGGGAATTCTGCTTCTTCTTCTTCTTTTCTTTACATCCTCCTTTACCACTTTGGGTGTTTCGGGAGATATAAGGTCCTGCCTCATGCTCTTCTGGATGCTTTGACCATGGACACATCATAGTGCTGCAGAATGTTTCTGATGTTGTCTTCCCCTCTTGTTCTTGCTCTATGTCCTTCTCCTCTTTTCGTATATGCACTGTATGGTATAGTATCAGAAGGCATCTCTCCAAGTGAGCAAACCATTTGATTTGCGGTTTTTGTTTAATGTAATTTCAAACTGGTTCTGTGCCGCCTATCTTGTATGACCTAATTCCCAATTTTATCTCTTCTGGTAACTCCTAGTTTTTCTCAGACACCTCATTTCCATGGTTATTAACTTAAGTTTTGTTATGAGTGACCAAGTCTGGTCTGGGGATTTCCCTACCAAATCTTGAAGCTGGCATGATGTGGTTAAATAACAGAAAAGAACCCACTTTGGTCCAACGTTTATGCCAGTTCCAACTTATTCAAAAGATGGGGTCTGCTATAATGCCCTAGAGGTTATTTCCGTGGGTTTGTGGGACCTTATCAGATTGGTTATATTCTCTTATCTCACCAGCTTCAGATCAACACAAGTTCCAACCATTAGGTGGTGGCAGATATTTTTCCTTTTCAGGGTTGCTATCTTAAGGATTAACACTTTAAGAATGAGAATAGGCCAGGAGCAAATAATACTCAGAAATCAGTTGTTGTTTTTTTTCAAGTCAGTTCAAGCGTATAATACAGTTACATTAATGCTTCCCTAGATTACAAGTAACATGAAGTCTAGTTGTAGGGGTGGGTTACTAAAATTAGAATAATATGATATCAACATCTCAAATCTAGAGGCAGAGCAAACTGAATTCCCTATCACTAATCACCTATAGTACTTTACTACTATACACTTATACAGCCCAAAAGTCGACCATTGGCCACCAGTCTGCCTCATGTTTAGCAATAATAACAACATCATAAACACAGAATTTATGATTTAATCTCAACGGCAATGCAACATTCGCTTCAGGGAATAGAATCATAGACACACAAGAACGTTGGTTGGTTATGCTTGTTCTTGTAGTTATGAGAGAAAAATGAAACTGACCTCCCTGCTAAGGTCCCATTCAAATGAGGCGTTATTATCATTATCATTACGGCGTGAATTACCAAAACAACATTCCAGACAAAACACTTAAGACAAAAACTTACATTCCAGGCAGTATTCGCTCTGCGGACTAGAATCTAGAGAGACAAGAATGTTAGTCATGTTTGTGGTTTGTGAAAAGAGAAGACTGATCTCCCTGCTCAAGTCTGCTACAACGTACACAACAGATAGCCTCCAATCTAGCGACTAACACATGCACTCTGCCCTATGACCTCTGACCCTCGGTTACCGCCAATAGGCGAGCAGCACGCTGGCAGTTGTTTTGTTCTTGAAGTTGTCGTTCTTTGTCTGAGGAAATATCACAGTTCTAGTCTGACTGACTGACTTTCTACCCCACCAGGACATCACACAAGCGATAAACACCAGATGACACAATGTGCCACCATGTGGATGAAGAATTCCGAGGAGAGGTCCTAGAAACGGCGTTCAGCCTTTAGGCCAGGCTATATTGCGGCCCCTGGCAAATGCCAGCGTAGGGCTTCAAAAAACGAAAAATGTCATTTTAAAAAGGACGGGAAGTATATAATAGGATCATACTGGTTTAGTATTCCTACCATCCCTTTATGTGGGCTGCAATTTTTCGTTATTTGAAGCTCTACTCTGGCTCTTGCCAGGGGCCGCAGTATAGCCCGGTCATAAATATGGTCTAAACGCTTGTTTGATGTCCTGGTGGGGTAAAAGAAGATAGATAGATGTCTATGGTTGTATGCTATAGTTCCCACCCCCCCCCCTCGTTAGATGCAATTTTTTATTATTTCGGGGCCCTAAATATAGCCTGATGGCTGAGCGGGGTTTCCGGAACCTCTACATGGATGATCCTCATCCGCATAGTGGCACTTTGTGTCACCGGGTGTTTATGGCTTGTGAGATGTACTGGTGGGGTACAACTTACTCACTTATTCGTCAATGGTGGATGAGTTAATCAACTCTTAGCTGATGTAGGATTTGGTTAGTTAGTTAGTTAGTTAGTTAGTTAGTTAGTTAGTTAGTTAGTTAGTTAGTTAGTTAGTTAGTTAGTTAGTTAGTTAGTTAGTTAGTTAGTTAGTTAGTTAGTTAGTTAGTTAGTTAGTTAGTTAGTTAGTTGACATATTATCCTCACTGCATATCGGGCAGGTCCGTAAAGGCTCGATCCCATCTTCAGTATATCTCGCAGCGTTGAGTTAAGTTGATTACCAGTTGAATCAACTCAACTCATCCCACAGGGTGTGGCGTCTGACAACACCAGTTCTGTGTTCGTTTGCTCTTCTTCTTTGGCTACCTTACAGTGTTCACGTTTGGCGTCACGGCTTTTGATCTGAAGTGCTTATACTTTTTTTGAGTTTTGCCGATCAACGTCGTCTTCTGAATCATCTTCTCGTCCTGCCTCACTGAGAGCATTGAGAATGTTGGCCGAGTCCATTGCTTTTCCTGTACCTACCATGGCCTTGATGTGGTTTTGACGCTACGGAGCTCGTACTTTATGCGACGCCTTCGGTAGGCGGCGGCTAGTCGATTTGCAGGGAGAGACCGAGCTATAATCGGCTACACCAAGTGCAGAGAAGTCGAACCTCTTGACACAATTAATCTGAGACACAAATAGCGAACTTCCACTTGACAATATAGTTTCCATCATCGTCATCATCATCATAATCAAGGTCATCATCATCATCATCAAATGCATTACCGCCAGGCGTGGGCGATGATGCGCCTCGGCAATCTGCGATCTTCAACATCTATCACTTCACGAGCTGAAACGGCGCTGTATCATGAGGAAAGGCTGTCAAGAATCTTCTGGTGCTGTTTTCCTCAGTTCTTTTTCTCACAGATCTGGCCAGTGGTCATAACATGATCTAATTTTCTTCTTATAATATCATTGCCAACAATGATGACTGTCTCCCTCTGATGTTTGTCATAAGTTGTCTTTGAGCACTCGCCTCTTTCAAAATAACAAAACATAAATAAAGAAAAAAATAAAAGAAAGAAGAAGAAGAAGAAGATAAGGAAGAAGAAGAAGAAGAAGAAGAAGAAGAAGAAGAAGAAGAAGAAGAAGAAGAAGAAGAAGAAGAAGAAGAAGAAGAAGAAGAAGAAGAAGAAGAAGAAGAAGAAGAAGAAGAAGAAGAAGAAGAAGAAGAAGAAGAAGAAGAAGAAGAAGAAGAAGAAGAAGAAGAAGAAGAAGAAGAAGAAGAAGAAGAAGAAGAAGAAGAAGAAGAAGAAGAAGAAGAAGAAGAGAAGAAGAAGAAGAAGAAGAAGAAGAAGAAGAAGAAGAAGAAGAAGAAGAAGAAGAAGAAAAGAAGAAGAAGAAGAAGAAGAAGAAGAAGAAGAAGAAGAAGAAGAAGAATGAAGAAGAAGAAGAAGAAGAAGAAGAAGAAGAAGAAGAAGAAGAAGAAGAAGAAGAAGAAGAAGAAGAAGAAGAAGAAGAAGAACAGAAAGAAGAAGAAGAAGAAGAAGAAGAAGAAGAAGAAGAAGAAGAAGAAGAAGAAGAAGAAGAAGAAGAAGAAGAAGAAGAAGAAGAAGAAGAAGAAGAAGAAGAAGAAGAAGAAGAAGAAGAAGAAGAAGAAGAAGAAGAACAAAGAAGAAGAAGAAGAAGAAGAAGAAGAAGAGAAGAAGAAGAAGAAGAAGAAGAAGAAGAAGAAGAAGAAGAAGAAGAAGAAGAAGAAGAAGAAGAAGAAGAAGAAGAAGAAGAAGAAGAAGAAGAAGAAGAAGAAAAAGAAGAAGAAGAAGAAGAAGAAGAAGAAGAAGAAGAAGAAGAAGAAGAAGAAGAAGAAGAAGAAGAAGAACATTGTATTGTTGTTGGCATGTCGTACATTTTGCGGTTTGTATAAAATCATTTATACACTGCCTAATACATAAATACAAAAGCTATTAGATTAAATAAATGTTGTTGTTTGAAAGAAAATCCTCTACAAAAACGTCAGGAATCTGACAAAAGCGTGCATGTGAGTGTGCGCGCGCGCGTGTGTGTGTGTGTACCTCTCCTTTTTCCTGTCTCATTTCGCTATTTGGTCCCGGCTGGAGCTCATCAATATTGGTTTTTACCACACAAATATGTCTAAATAACTTCTCCTTAGGATGAATCGCAAAATGTGACATTGTCTGGAATTTACTTCCAGACAATAATGTCACGGCGTGTTTGAGCTTTGCTAGTGTGAGGCTTCTTTGCAAAGTCATCGACATCTCTACATGGCTTTAACCCGAGGGAGGTAAAAAGAGATAGCGCGCGGTGTTGGGACAAATTTTGACTCATGTAAGTTTTAGCACGCCGCGCGTGTTCCACGCTAAGGTCGTCGTATACCAAGTAAAAGTGTCCGCGTCTTAACCGGAACGTATACCAGGTTTAAACGTATGCCAAAGATAACGCATACAGAGGTAACACTGTATGATAAAAACTAACCAGGTAAATAGTACGTATTCTAGTCGTACGCCCCTCTTGTGCTCTGAAATGCCCCTAAATAGTTAATTATTGTGGCTGCTGTCTGCTGCCTATATACGTTCTTTATTATTTCCATAAGAGGATTTAAACATACTGCCATCGAATAACAATAACGGCTGACATTAGGAACAAGTGGACTACCCCCACAGATCAAATAAAAACTCCTCTGAATTTCCTCCACCCTCTTGCCTCTAGAAATTTATGGGGACGGGTTTGGGGGACGGGGGGGGGGGGGGGGGAAGAGAGAGATGGGGCAGCGAATTCAAGGGGCTGAAGCTTTTTTAATTCTGCTATATTAATAATTAATTAACAATAATAATAATAATACTCTGCTGAATGACTAATAAAAAAATATATTTGAAATAATATGAAATACAAAAACAAATGCTTTAAAGAAAATGCAAATGTAAGTGTATGTGTGTGTGTGTGGGAAGGGGGGGGGGAATACTTTATAAGGATGAGGACTGACGCAACCAATGGAAAATGAGGGAGGGAGGGAGGGGGGGGGGGCTAATAGTGCTTGAGCCTGTGTTCCATGTAAATTATTATTTTTATTTGTCATTTTATACATAATAATAATAATAATAATAATAATATGCCGAGCAGCATACAAAAATAATACTATAATAAAAATAATATGAAATATATAAACATATACTTATCAAAATAATGTCTAAAATTAGGCAAATGAGCCTCTTAGTTGCCTTACTAAATAAATGGAGGAGGTCAGACTCAAGGGAGCTGAGTGCCCTTTTGAGGTGTTGAGAAATTGTTTGGCCTGCCTACCTATTGTCCAGGACTCACAGCCATATGTTAAAACTGGATGCATGTAGCAAGCAAGAATTTTTTTCCTTACCCCCAATGACAGAGATACATTGCATAAGATGTTCTTCACTTTATAAAATGTAGTTTTTGCCTGTCATATTCTGTTTATTATCTCGATGATGCATCTTCCATCTGATGTTTTCCATGTGTTTGGATACTTAAATTTCTGTAATTGTCCCGCAATAACACCATTAACTTTTATTACACATTTTGGATTAGTTCTTGTTTTTGATACCACCTTTACTTCTGTCGTTCCATTATTCAAACTAAGGTCCATTCTTCCACTTTCTACAACCACAATGTCAATCATTTCCAGTAGTTTTTTTCTGACTTGTTGCTCTCAAGTCTGTGACATCAGTTAAATATAAATTGTTTATATTATGTACACCAACCACAATTCTGGGCATATCAAGTAGATCTCATTATATACTCTATAGTGAAAATAAATCAGGTGACAGAACACATCCTTGTCGTACGCCCCTCATTATGCACTGAAATGTACCTAAACTGTTGTTAATTCTTGTATCTGC